TGATAACTTCTGTAACAATATTCTATTAGATACCACTCACCCATTACACAAAGAACTTAAACAATGCATATCCACTTCTGCAACAAGATGTCATTATAAACTGGCGTATGCTCGTACCACTGCCTATCGTTCGTCCGTCATCCCCTATCTTTCGGGATTTCTGGCTCAAAAAGTATCCGTTAGAAAAGACTTTGAAATTCCTACGCAAGTGATATTCATTTTCAAACTTTTTATTCCACATTCCTTTGAATTGACGATGCTGTTTTTTTTTCTCACTTTTTTGTGACTTTTATGCGACGATAAATGTTCCTGGAGTGCAAAAAGCTGAGAATCCATCCATTGGGACGAATAAAGCGATTTTTGACCTGATTTGACTTTGAAATGCATTGAAGGGAAGGGAGAAAATAGGAACGAGAGAGATAGAGAGTAGATTCACTAGAGTGATGCATAAAATGAATGTGGCGAATGTTGGTGAAAGCAACCGGGGAGCGTGTGCGAGTGAGAGTATATAGGGGGCAACGCTGTAGTGTGCAACTTCCTGATAGCTCGTTGTTGATGATGAGAGGCCGGAATCCTTAACCCCACGACTTGGAGTGATAACCGACGGAAGGCTGTCCAACGAGAAACACGAATTATTGGACCGGGTGCGAGAGAAGATACCTACAACTAGGCTCACCAGTCACACGTGGAAATATCTGATGATGAGAACAAACAAGGTCACGATAATCGGGATGAAGATACCGATGATCTAGATCAAACAGGTAGCGTTTGGTTACCCAGAGTGAAACTTTTGGGAGCGGTAGAACCGTTATTGGGTGATTGTCTCAAAGGATGGCCGTCAAGTGCTCATAGTCTTTCTGTCTAGACTTAATTTCTCCCTCGTTGGCTGATTAGATGGGCAGCTAAAAGACAGCAACATGACGCGCACTGTCCTTGATACAATCCATATCATCATTATCATCGAGCAGCGAAAAAAACAATGAAATGAACCACGTTGATCGCTGCCAAACTCGCAATGCATAGAAATTTCGTGAGAATATGGTAAGGTGGATCGGAATTATATCTATTTTTAGTTGAAGGAAAAGAAAGTGAACATCTATGGTCATACTCAGAGGAAGCATTCCAGCTGAGCATCTTCAAGTTTCAGTTTCAGTTCAGTTTGTACAACCAATAGCCATGTACTATCGTGCGCCGGTTTTGGTTGAGGTCTGTCGGCTGCCTATTTGGACGAACATTAGGAGAAAGACAGGAAAGGTTGAAAGTAGGATCGAAGAGAAAGTTGAAAAATTCAGTGGACTAATGATACAGAGAAACTGACAAGATGTACAAACGCCACTGTTTACGACACTCAACCATACCACTCAGTGTCTCTAACCATCGGTTACGATCATCCCGAGGTTCCCATCCAGGGAGCACAACGGGACCTATGAGAACCAGACTCCTGATTAGGGTTTTCATACCTTCATGCCAAATGTTAGCTCAACAATCTTTGGCTTTTTCCACCCACTACCTGCCTCGGCGAACATCGCTCGCCGTGGCAACCCATTTGGAGACATGCGTAACACATGCCCCAACCAACGTAATCTATGGAGGTCGATCACTTGCTCTAGTGGACGACCACGACTGTCTAAAACTTTAAGCCCGACCTCAGCATTGCTCGTCTGGCTGCCCCACCAGATTCGTGTAATGCTACATAGAAAGCGGTGTTCAACAACCGACAGTCTATCTTTGTCCTGTTTTCTTAATGGGCAAGTTTCTGCTGCATATAGCAGAACTGGACGAACTGTTACATCATACACAACCCTTCACAGATAGCCGGATGTCGCGACGGCGCCACAGATGTCCCAAGTTGGCAAATGCCAACCGAGACTTCTGTATGCGAGATGGCACTTCACTGTGATGCGTCCACCGGGTGAGATGTAGCTGCCCAGATTACAAAACTTATCCATCTGCTTTAGTACTTCCCCAATTAAAGTATTCTGGCTTGATAAGCAGAATAGACTACAAAATGCCTACAAATGAAATCAGAACAAACATCCGCGAGCAAGTGTTCGCGTCCAAGCGTGTGTTCACGACGAATAAATAGATCAATGCTTCGTCAATGATTAACCTTTTGTGGGAAAGGAATTTCACCTGTGAGAACGTTTTACACGGTCCTGGCTGATTACAGTTAAACACACAACCCAAGAGAAGATTGCTGC